GACTCACGGCCCAGACCCCAGCTGGGGCATTTCTCCCCCGCAGGGCTGGGAACGCCCTGCCCCGCCCGGGGCCTGCCTCTAAGCCGTTTGCACCCTCCGGTGAGCGTGGCCGGGGGGTTCTCTCGTCCTCCAGGAGGGACGCCAGGGCCAGAGGGCTGACCGTGCTGGTGGATGCCAGGAGACAGCCTCCCGCCCCGGCCCTGCACGCGGCCATCCGAGCAGTCCAGGTACACGCGGGTCTCTGTGCAGCGGGGCCGTGGGGCCTTCTCCAGCTTAGCAGAGCCCGTTCGGGCGGGCGAGCTCTGGCCAGCCAGCGAGGAACGCACCGTCGCCCCGACGTGCCTCGCAGTCCTCCCGGAGAGCGTCGCGGGCAGGTCCCTGCCGGCCTAGAGCTGCTCTGCACAGTCCCATTGTCTGTCCCTGGGCCAAGCGTCGGCTCCCACCCCCCACCTCCCACATCCCCAGGATCACGTCTGCAGGCTGGGCGCAGCCGCCCGCTTGGCGCACAACGAGTTTCTCTCCAAAGAACCATGTAGGCCCTGCCCTCCCCAGGTACCTGCCCATCCTCCGCCTCCCCCGTCCGTTCCTGGCCTCCCCTCGGGGCCCCCGCCCGTCGTCCCCCTCCCCCGTCCGTTCCTGGCCTCCCCTCGGGGCCCCCGCCCGTCGTCCCCCTCCCCCGTCCGTTCCTGGCCTCCCCTCGGGGCCCCCGCCCGTCGTCCCCCTCCCCCGTCCGTTCCTGGCCTCCCCTCGGGGCCCCCGCCCGTCGTCCCCCTCCCCCGTCCGTTCCTGGCCTCCCCTCGGGGCCCCCGCCCGTCGTCCCCCTCCCCCGTCCGTTCCTGGCCTCCCCTCGGGGCCCCCGCCCGTCGTCCCCCTCCCCCGTCCGTTCCTGGCCTCCCCTCGGGGCCCCCGCCCGTCGTCCCCCTCCCCCGTCCGTTCCTGGCCTCCCCTCGGGGCCCCCGCCCGTCGTCCCCCTCCCCCGTCCGTTCCTGGCCTCCCCTCGGGGCCCCCGCCCGTCGTCCCCCTCCCCCGTCCGTTCCTGGCCTCCCCTCGGGGCCCCTGCCCATCCCTGGGCCTTCAGGGCTCCTGGCCCCATCTGCCCAGGTCAGTGCCCAGCCTGGGGGAGCAGCCGCCCCTCGAACAGCAACGCTGCGGGTTTGCGACGTTCCACCCCACGCGCCTCTGGCTGGGCTGCACGTGGGTAGGGCTCTACCCCATTTACAGTCCATTTTGGGCAACGTCATGGTCCTAGGCAGGCCCCCCAATGGGTGAGGGGCAACCACGTGGGGGCCCAATGATTCAAAGAGCCCTGGGACCCCTCCAGGGCCCCTCAGCCCCGCCCCTTCCACCTGAGGCCCCGACCCTTCCAGGAGCCAGCTCCCCTTCTCCCCCCACCTTGCCCGGGGCCAGCTCCCCTGGTCATAGGGTTTTAAAAGTCACAAGTGGTCCTGCTTTCTGTTATTGAAGTGTCATGGTATTGTCATTGGAGGGACACAGACCCAAAACACACAGATTTTTTTGGGGGGGGGCATTGCAAGGTGATCATAGAGGCAGGGTCATGTGACAAAGGCAGAGTGGCTCCATGGCCACAGTCTATAACACAGCCCAAAGGTTCAGGGCAGCACAGCCTAATGGCTAAAACCCAGTAAGGGGGTGTGGGCCTTCCCTGCTACACCAGACCCCGACCCAGATTCCTGTCAGCAGGGGAGGGATCCGCCACTCACTCAGCAGGGAATCCCACCACACGCTGAGCTCACGCAGGTTGGGGATCCCCCTCACACACCCTGCCGGGGTCACTTCCTACCAGAGCTGGCTTTGAAACACAGTTTCAGGGTCATCCGGCTCCGCAGCGCCAGGTTCCTGCAGTTCTGCCGGCTCAGTGCAGTCTCGCAGGTCTCCAGCTCCCGTCCTCTGGGTTTCTAGCTGATCCCACTCTGGAGCACCTTCCTCTCCAGGATCCAGCCTAGAGTGAGCTGAGCTGCTCCCTTTTATACTGCTCCAGCCCTTGGAGCATGCCCAGTGTGGCTGAGGGGGCGGGACTTCCTCTGCCCTGCTAGCCTAGTGCGGGGTATGCAGTAGGCACTGCTACCCTTGCTTCTGCAGTGCTGCTGGCAGGATGCTAACCCCCCGGGATAACCTTGTGACCCTCCTGCAACTCCCTTTGGGTCCGAGAAAGGCTGGTCTCCCCGGGAGATCTGTATGGCACAGGGTAAAAGCACACCCAAGGCCAGCTGGCACGGTCCTTGACGTGTTGACTTTGGCAGGGCTGCAGGCCTGGGGCGGGGGGAGGTGGGGAGGCGCTAGCCCAAGTGGCTTGCCTGGGGGGAAAGGTTTGCATTGCCCACCCAGCTCTGTGCAGGAGCTCTGGCACCAGCAGGGATCTGCTCCGGCTAGGGGTGCCCCCGCCCGCCAGGCCAGGCCAGCGTGGGGCTCCAACGTCACGGGCAGAGCGAGCAGAGGGCATCCCCGGAGTGACGTTTCCACTGCCCCCCTTGCAGAGCGCTGCCCCTGCCTCCATCCGGGGGGTGTTGCTGCTGGCGGAGAGGGAG